ACCTGCTTTAAAAAAAGAAAAAGAAAAATCAACCCACAACTGCTCATCAGCTCCTTAGCGAAAAATGCTGCTTTCTCCCAAAGTAAGTGAGATCTGCTCTGTAGCTTTGTGTCAATGTGCTTGAATTTAATGCCTTACCTGGGCTCAGCTCAGCACTGCTGTGAAACCCCTCCCCAGGAGCTCAGTTACCCTTGGGAAGTGCTGGTGAAGGCTCATTTATTGTTCTTGGGCTGTGCTCTGAGGAGACACTGCCATTTCCAGCTCTTTTTGCTCCATACTTTGTTCCTGGCCCTCGAACTGCAAACGTCTGTGGCATTGTTTCCCGTGGTATTAATTGAGATGTGCTCTCAGAGCTGTTCCCAGCCTGCTTTATGTGCTGGCTTAGGGCCACCTCAGCAGAAATCAGTGGGCTGTGTGCATATGTTCTGCTTCTCCTTTTTTGGGGAGAGTGGGGGAGAGGGGCTTAGTTCCCCACGCTCTGCCTCTCACTCCTGGAGAAGTAAAACCCCTCTTAGCGACCAAATTCACTCATTCTTCAGACCCCAGGACAGCAGCTGCTCTGAGGGGTAATTCCAATGGCAGGAACAAGAGGAGGTGTCTGGCTCCTGCTCTCTGGGCAGTCCCGTGCAGCAGCGGCTGTGGGTGGCTCTCTGGGGCCGGTCCCTGCCCGTGGCTGTTTGTGCTGGCCCAGAGCACAGCCTGGGGGCAGCAGGGTCAGCTCAGCCCGCCGGGAGCTTTGTGAGCTGCTGCTGCTGCAGCAGAGCCGGGGGGAGGAAGGGCAGGGAGCTCCGTTCAAGGAGAGGAAGCCGAGGGGCAGAGGAGTATCCTCTCCAGGAATGTGTTTCCTGCTGCACACATTGTTGCAGGCACTGCTCCGCCTAGGTGAGCTGATATTTTGTGTCTTGTGTTGATAAAGGATCTCAGGAAACTTTGTACCTTGTTCGAGGGGCCGTTTCCTCCCTTGTGCCCCGCTCCCGTGCCCGCGGCAGTGCTGGGGGAGCTGTGGTGCCAAGGGACAGGCTGTGGGCGCTGGGGAGCTGTGAGCTGAGCAGAGGATTACAGCTCTTACACTCTGTCACCCACTCCTGGGTCTCCAGTGGAGAATTTCAGCCTGAGAACACAAAACTCTTCATGTAAATCAGTAACAGAAACGGGGCTTAGAATGGGTCACTACTGGGGGGTCAAAGAGCAAGTTTGGCCCTTGTCCTACCAGGGAGAGCTTTGCATCTTCAGAGGCCAGGCTTGAAAGGTCAGTCTCAGAAATCCCTTTTCCCCCTTTCTTACTCCTGCATTTCAGGATTCAGGTGGAGAAGCGCTGAGTCATCTGAAACGTGTTCTCTCCTGCCAGGATCATGGCTGGGCTCTGGGCAGAGTCTGCCTCGTGGATCTTCCAAACCTCCCTTCACTTGGCCTCCTCTAGGACTTCTGCCTCCTTCAGGAATCAAAGTCTGATTCGCTTTCCATTGTGACTCGTAAAGTCTTGGACTACTTAGAGGCATATCAAAAATTCAAATAATCTCTTTTGACAGCATTGAAGCCTGTGGTGTTTGAATCTTTGATATGAAGATTTCTCCTGCTTGGAGAATAGCTCATTTTTAATGCTGTGAAATAGAGCGTGATAACTGTGCTGCTGTCTGTACTACAGTGAGCATTATGTGCTGCTTAATAAAATGCTGCTCCTCTCCAAGAGCTCTCTTTCATAATGAAAGAAGGTGCAGTATTCAGATGTTCGTAACTCACACCAAAAAACTTTCTGCCCAAATTTGTCTTCGGTGCAGATTTTCTGCCTGCAACTGGAGTTAAATTCTTTCTCCCTGGTCCAGTGCTCACAGCTGAAACTACAACCTGTTAAATGTTGCAATGGCCCAGATACCTCTGGGACCTATTGTCTGTCTGGTCTTGCTCTGCAGGGGGTTTGCAGCTCAATGAGAAGCTGAGGAAGAATTTTTGAGATGTGCTGAAACGCTGCGAGGTCTATTAACAAGATTTGAGGGAAAGAAAGATGGGAGACCCTAGGAAGAAACACGCAGCTGCAGAAGTGCAAAAGCTACAGGATTGTGCCACCAAGAACTCTCTCTGCTCGGCAGGATCAAACAGAAACGCTCCTGCTGTTGTACAAGGCCAGGTATAATCCCTGTATTTGTCTCCTGGCTGCTCCGGGGTCTGCATCTCAGGGCAGGTTGTAGGCATCTTCTGGTAAGTTTGAGCATGATGTAAAAATCCTTTTCCCCTTTATTGTACTTCCTGCTTTTCAACAGGCTCAAAGCCTGTTGGCAAAATGACTTTTACCAAGCACAAGTAGGATGCTCACATGTCTTTGGAGTGAATGTGGATTTGACACTGCTTTGGTTCTGCTTTTTCTGCCTGAAGGTTTTCACTCAGGCTCTCCAGTGAAGGACATTATTTCCTCGGTGGAATATTTTCCATATGACTAAATAATGGCCAAGGGCTGTGATTTTTGTGTCAGTGCTTGGCACTGTGGGTTTCTGCTCAGAAATCAGATGGACATGTGAGAAGTAGTCCTAAATACAAGCACTGCACTGTTCAGAGTGACAGGGTAAAATGAACTGATCAGGTATTTTTATTTCCATGGCACTTAGAATTTGTCTTTTTTCCCCAGCAAAGCTTGAAAGCAATGAGACTCATTCATTGTGAGGAGACACCTTCCCTGTCAAACTGAAGGTCACGTCCCAGTTTCCCCATTGGCACTGCCTGGAACGTGGTGCTGTTGAGGAGCCCCAGCTCAGGTGCAGCATGGTCAGAGCCCACCCTCCTGCCCAGAGCACTGGCAGCAGCTCTGCCCCACGAGGACCTTGCTGAGGGGAGCCTGATTTCCAGCTGTGCTGGTGGGTCAAGAGCTCCCCTGCTGCCAGCGAGCAAAGGGATTCCAGGTGGGGCTGTGCTTCGGGAAAATGCTCAGTTACAAACCTGCCTGAGACCCTGAGCTGCCCTAGGGATCTGTCATCCAGGCACTGCCTTGTAATCACAGCTTCATTCCCAAAACCAAGGCAGGCTCCCAAACCTGCCTGGTTTGTGTGGGGAGCAGTGAGTGCACGTGGGTAAACCTGATCTGTGCAACAGGGAGAGGAACTGAGGGACAGAATTCGTGCTAGATTAAACCACAGGTGTGGAAGGCTCATTTAAAACTGTCAAGACATGGAGTAAAGAAATGTGGGAAAGCAATTACACCAGTGCCAAGAAGTAGAATGAGTAGGAAGATAAGGGGAGAAAGTTATTGGCCTGACAGTCCTTCAGTCAAGAGGACGAAAAATTGGTTTAAAAATTGAGTCTGATAATGGTGTCTGATTACTACACACAAAAGTGACTGTTCCTTGAAATACTAGTTTCATAACCTAATGCAGAAAAGCTAGGTAGCAGCAAAGACAGTTGATAGATTTCAAAGGGAATATTAATTAGGAATAATTTGAAAGTCTAGCTAAAGATCTGTCTAAATTGATGCATTTTTAATGGAAGTTAATCTTCCATAACTTGGAAATAAAATAGCTTGGTAAGATACTGAGTCTGTATGTGTTCAAAGTAGACTTTGAACATTAGAAAAGAATAAACCAATAATTAAAGGAATTCACTCCAGAGTATCAGGCATGCAGCCCTTCCCAGCAGTGCTGCTCTCAGAGCTGGGAAACACGCAGAGCTGGGAGACAGGAGGGCTTGGTGCAGGTTCCTGTGTCTCTCCACGATGTTTTGAGCAAAATAGAGATTTCTGTAGTGTGCTAAGAGAGGGCCCAGGCTGTGTGCAGCTCGGTGCCAGAGGGGTTCTGCTCCTGTGTGTGCTGAGGCCGTGGGGCTCGCAGTGCCAGGCTGAGCTGGCTCCACTCTGCAGGGCCAGGAGAGCTGTGCTGAAGGCTGGTGGACCTGGCTGCACACATGCAGGGATTTTGCAGAAAATCAGACTCACGGGTGCAATGGGTGGCTCCTGTGTGTGGTGGCAGCCTGGAGGTGTGCCATTCTTTTGGAATTGCTGGGAAAGCAGGCAGGGGTGTGGTGTGGTGTGGCATGGAGGAGGCACCACAGTGGGAGGCTGTGCTGTGCTGGGCTGCAAAAGGCTGAACTCGAGCACCCTTTGATCTGAGCACAGCTGCTCCTTTGAGGTTACCTCTGGAACACGGGCACCTCTGCACCACTGACAGCAGCCAGCCCTAACCCTTATCCTGGCTCTGGAAGGGCTGGGAGCTGCAGGAGTTTGCTCTGCAGTGCTGTCTGAAGGCAGCTGTCAGTGTCTGCTGTGAGTGGGACAACCACGGGCTCTGTGGGTGCTCCTTTGCTGCTCTGAGTGCTGCCTTGGTGCATTTGGGGTTTGTACCCTCTGCTCTCCAGGCCACCAAGGCCAACCCTTGATTGCCAGCATCAGAGCCTGCTCCAGGACCTGCAGCTTTTCACTCCATCATCTCCCTGCTCCCCTCAGTCTGTCCCCTGAACTTTCTATAGGAGGTGAGGCTCCCTCCGTGGCAGGGGAAGGTGCAGAGGGAGCACCCTCAGCTGTGCTGAGGTGGATCCAGCCCCCAGGTGCTACCAGGGGTACTTTGCAGTGCCCTGTCAGGCTGTGGAGCTGAGCAGGGCTCACTCAGCCTGGAGAGGATCCTGAAAGTTAAGGGTTAAGCTATGGCCAGCTGGACTTTAGGAGACAGGCAGCATTCAAAGCAGAGAGGACAAGTGGGATGTGAGAAGCCAGAATTTGCAGGCACGGGGAATTGTGGGTGGCACTGAAAAGCCAAATACACGAACAGAAATACGTGTATTTAATATATATTTCCATTACATTCACAAGCACAAATTGTGAGGGGGGAAGTGCATCTCAAGAGCAACATATGTGTTACCTCATGCCTCCTGCTAAGTATACAAGCATGGGAATAAGTGTCTATTTAACACAGAGCTGAAAGTTTGGTGTACAGATGGTAGGAAGTTGGGCAACAGCATGTGTAGCTTGGATCTGTCCTACGTGAATGCCATCACCCAGCATTGTTTCTCACTAAATGTCATCCTGCAGATCCATCCCTGACCCACTTGCAAAGATGCTGAGCTGCCTCTTCAGCACAGGAGTGCTCAGGAAATTATGGGTGTGTGACCTCAGCTGGGCTAGGTGAGAATCTAGTGATGATAAAATCAGGTGAGAGCACAAAGAAATGGGAGAAATATGGGCTGATAAAACCAGCCAGTGGGCCTAAATCTTGTCAGGCAAGTGTGGGGTTTCTCCCTTCCCTTTAAGGTCAGACACAGGAAGCGATGGACACGGACACCTGTGAGTCACTTGAGAGTGAGGCCCAGCAGACTGATGGGCTGGATTAGCAGGTACAAAATGTGCCTGGGAGATACTAAAGCAGGAAATGTGGCTGGCGTGCTGAAAAACCCATTGCATGCAGATTTCAGAGCCGTGCACAGACAGGTAATGAGCAGAACCTGCTAACACAGTGTGAAATAAATACTATTAATGCTGCTTGCAGGTGGGGAACCCGGGCCTGGGGAGGTGACATGATTCATGAAAAGCCAGTGCAATAGAACTGGGAGTAATGCTTTCCAGATTAATTTCATTAGTGTGATGTACTGTGGCTGCTTTGGTACATCCCTGCTCCAGCCAAATAACCAGAGGGTCCTGTGAGGGGAGGAGGCTTCACAGAGAACATCATTTTACATTCAGGCAATTGTTTTCAGAGTCTTCCTCTGTGCCTATTTATGGTGATCATTTTTGTGTTAATAAATCTGACCTAGTCCACCTTTCAATCTGCTGTGATTGAGGTCAAATGTTAGGAGCATGCTTTTAGGGAAATATTTTTGCCCTCATTGATTATGTCGAGCTCTGCCTGTTCCAAAGCTTAGGACATTGTCTGCTTTATGAATGCAATTGAAATTGGTGCTTTGAGCCTCTGCTGTCTGTTGGCTCTCTAGAATTGAATGCTCTTGTGCTCTGAGTGGAAGCCAAGGGTGGCAATGTGCAACATTTTAGCGGCAGCTGCCTGGCTCAGAGACCTCTCAAACTGAAGAAGGCACAGTGGCCAGTGCCTCTCAGCTCGGGCAGAGCCACAGGGCAGGAGGTCCAAACTCAGCCAGACTTTGGTGCTTCTCAAAGTCCCATCTTCTCTTCTCTGACACTGCAGAGTTTGCTGCCAGCATTTCAGTGGGGTGCTCCCAGGAAAGGGTCCTGTGTCTGGTGGTTTCTCAAAGGCAGAGGGATACAAGTTTCAGGTTTCTCCCACCACCTGGAGTTCACCACCTGAGGAGCAGCTGGGCTGCACTGTCCCTGCCTCCCCTGGTGCAGGAGTGATACCAATCCCCACGGAGCAGCTGGGGAGCAGGGGAGGCAGCCCTGGGGCAGAGCTGGAAGGTCTGGCATGTGCACACCTGTGTGTGCATGTGCATCTCATCCCCCTGCCAGCTTCCCCTGGCTGAAAAGAGTCCAGATACACATTTTGGAGAGCCACAGTAGTTTGTGGGTTTTTTTGTTTCCGTTTTCAAGTTCTTTGTAACCAAGAGAGTCCATAATCTTCATTTCAGAGGTGGAATTTAGAATGCTTGCTCCTGGATCTGGAACCTGGCATTGTTAAAGGAGATGTTCCAGCTGCTGGAAGGATGAAGAAGGGAGAACTTAGAAAACAAACTTAGTTGCTTGAGATAACAAAGACTACACCAGCATCTCTAGGATTCACAGCAAAGAATTACGCTTCATGTCAGTTTTGGTTTCCAGAAAACAATCTGTTGGTTAATTCCCAGGTCAAAAGGACTCCTTTGAAGACTCTCTGTGCCTTGACCGCTGCCATAAAAAGCAATATTGAAAGGGTGATGGGCCTGTGCTTGAGCACAGCTCTCTTTGTGCTTAGGCTTAAGAAGAAAAAGCTGGTCCATGGACAATAAAGCGTGTAGAGTCTGATTTCCTGCAGGTTTGGTTTCCTGTCCCACCACCTCCATAACCCCTGGCTCCTCCATCTCTGCTAAGAAAACTCTTGCAGACACAAAGGGAAGCAGCAAACTGGGGTCTGTGTCTGCTCTATGGCATCTCCCCTGAGCTTCCTGCCCTTGTCAGACAGCTCCCCTGCCACACAAACCAAGTGGGAGCTCAATTATCCCAAAGGCTTCAGTCCCTCTTCCCAGCCTGGGTGAGAAGGGCTGGTGGATGGAGCGCTGGGTAGGAGAGGTGTTGTTGAGGAAAGGCACACTGTGAGGGAGGTCAGTTCCCAAGGAAAAGCATGTTAAAGCAAGGAAAAGCATGCTAAATGCAGTGCTGCAAGTGTGCCCACAAAGTGCAGCAGCTGTGGAGTGGAAAGTGCTGCTGCTCCTGTCCCATGGGTGTTACTGAACATCTTCCCTCAGGTCCCTTCCAGGTGAAAGGGAGGAAATGGGCCACGTTCCCTGGGCATGTTGTGATTTTTGGGTTAACTCTGGCCATGTGGAGAGGCTGCACAATGGGGCCTCAGACTTGGCTGAGGCCTTTTGTATTTCTGGAACATAAACAACAAATAACTTTCAGTTTATGACAATCTCAGTATGCATCTATTTACATAGCTGGTGAGTCCATAAATGATTCTCTTTCACACATGTAGGTACACAAAGCTATTGCTGTGCATTTCTCCAGCTTTGGATTTCCTTTCTGAAGCAAATTTAGGCACCTGGATCCAAGCTGACCAGCAGCTCTGGCAGTATTTGGAACTCTAAAAATTAATATTAGGATTTTTGATATTGTTCCCATTTCTTACTGGCAGCCAGGGGAAAGCTCTTGGTGTGGAGGATATTGGCAAAATGAAGTGAGGGCTGTGACTTGTGTTTTGCCAAGCAGAGACAGATCAAATGCTTTGGGTGGAAAACAAAACCCAGCTCCGACTGACAACAGACTCAGTGTGACAGTCCCCATGTCCTTGTCCCCACTGTCGCTCTGAGCGTGTCCCTGGAGCACCTCAGAGCTCCCCACGGGGTCCTGCCCTGGCCAGCCGGTCTGCAGGGACAGGTGAGTGAGTGACCAGCCTGTTTTCCTCGGGCTACAGGAGAAGGGTGGCCAAGCAGAGCTAAAAACGAGCCCGGGAATGCTGACACCACGGAGTGCTGCTTTAAAACACCCTCTTGGTGCCTCAGTTTCCTTTGCTGTGAAAATCGTGGCTCCAAGGGCAGGGCAGGGGTGACCGGGCTGCGGAGCAGAGACGGGCGGCGGTGGAGACGGTGTCCCTTGTCCCTGAGCCTGGCCAGCTGAGGCAGGGCAGGACACAGCGCGGTGCGGGAGGGACAGAGCGCGGTGCGGGCAGGACAGAACGGAGAGGTGCGGGAGGGACACGGAGCGGTACGGACAGAACAGCGCGGTGCGGACAGGACAGAGCGGTGCGGGCAGAACAGAACAGAGCGGTGCGGGAGGGACACGGAGCGGCGCGGACGGGCAGGACAGAGCGGTGCGGGCAGGACAGAGCGGTGCAGGAGCGGACAGAACAGAGCGCGGCGCGGACAGGACAGAACGGAGCGGTGCGGACAGAACAGAGCGGTGCGGGCAGCACAGAACAGAGCGCGGCGCGGACAGGACAGAGCGGTGCGGACAGAACGGAGCGGTGCGGGCAGGACAGAACGGAGCGGTGCAGGAGCGGACAGAACAGAGCGCGGCGCGGACGGTCCAGCGCGGTGCAGGAGCGGACAGGACGGAGCGCGGCGCGGACGGTCCAGCGCGGTTTCCTAGCGGAGCTGTCCGTCGCCGGCGGTGCTGAGCGAGTGGCGGAGCCCAGCGGAGCCCCGTAAGCGGCTGTCGCGGGGACTCCTCCTCCGGGGAAGGCGAGGCGCTGTCCCGGAGGGACGCGGAGCCCCGAGCACCCCCGGGTGCGGGCAGCACACGGGTCCCGCGGGTGTCCCCGGGTGCAGCAGGGCTGGGAGCCCCGCGGGTGGCCCGGGGCTGTGGGGACGGAGCCGGGGGCGGCAGTGGCGGTCCGGGCTGTGTGTCCCGGCCTGCCCCGGGCACCGGTGGTGTGTGTGAGCGAGTGACACGCTTTGGGGTGTGCGAGCAGGGTTGAACTGCCCTGAAAGGGGCTTGCAGGAGTCCCGGGTGGGTAACCGAGGCAGAAAGCAGATTTTACTGTCAGTAGCCAGTGGGGATGGGCAGCCCTGGCACAGCAGAACTCTGTGATTTCCATCCTGAGCTGTGCACTTCTGCTATTCTGTGACTTTCTAAAGCCTGCACTGTTTGCTAGGTAGGCAACAGTGTCTGAGCTTCCCCTGTGCTGGGAATTGCAGAAATTGATTCCTGCCGTTGACTATTGAAAGAGTCTGGAGGTCAGGAGAGTTTCCAGGCTCATCGGGTTTCTTCCTCCTCTCCAAGGCAGACTCTGGCTTTGTAGCACGTTTGCTGAAGGAAAGCAACTGTTCAAGTCTGGAGGAGAAAAGGGCAAAGCTGACAATGACACAAATGAAAGCAGGGTTTTCCATGCAGACAGAGTGCATGTGATCAGGCCAGTCCAGCCATGCCAGTGTCCTCCCAGGCGCCAGACACAGACGTGGGGTGTGGGTTTGGGTTTAGGTTTGATTCTTCCTGTGAACACAGGAATTAGGGCTAGGATGTAAAATACAAGGGTTTCCTCGTAATGTACCTGTGACAGCAGCTGCTTGGAAAACTTCATCTCATTTTGAAGTCTGATTAAATTGAGGGGAAAGGAGCTTTCACAGTCTGTCTCTTCTCAGAACACCGTCTGAGCAATGGAGCTTAAATCAAATTCAGCAGCTCTGTGCACCCAGAGACTACGTGGCTCAGCAGTTTGATGCTGAAGGGCTGCTCAGTGCTGGCTGCATCCCTGAGGACAGTCTGGGCTGAATCCCTCCCAGAGGAGTCACAGATTTAGTCTTGACTGAGCACAGTCATGTGTTTGGAATATTTCGGAGTTGGAAGAAAACTCCTGCAGCTGTTTCTGTCAGAAATCACTGTGGATGTGTTTGGTACCTGTGCTGATATTTCTGCAGTTTGTGGCTCTCCACTGAAGGATGTGCCTGTGCAGGCATCCCCCACCACACACCCCCCTGAGAGAGCACCTTGATGGGAGGATCCAATTTATGATTTACTTTTGGACATAAAAGGGAGAGCTCTCCATATTTCTATAAAACTAATTTATCATCTATGTGTCAGTGACATCAGCACCTTGACCAGAGCAAGAGATGCATTTTCATCAGTTCTGTATTAGAATGAGAGATGTGTGCTTCACAGGCAGCTCAAGCACAATCATAAAAATAGGGTTTATTGTAATATGTCAGAAATAGAAATTCCTCTCCTGTGATTATTGGTCCTTTGTGCCAGCCTGATCTCACAGGACACTTGCAGCTCCCCTGATGTACTGCAGGATGGAGACCTGCCAGGGATCTGAAGGAAATCAAATCCTACAAGCTTTGCCAGTTCTCTCCTTCGCTGCATGTGTGCCGAGGAGCAGGAACAATTCCTTCCAGACTGTTTATGCTGGGCCTTGCCCTGTCTCATCACCAATGCAGCTGTGTGGCCACAGTCCCTCCTTTTCCCCTGGCTCTGTGTTCTGGATACACAGATGCTTTGCTAAGGCCTCTTGGAGAGGTGATGTGCATGTGCTGTGTTCAGCTTGGCTGCTTCCAAAGGCTCTTGAGGAAGATCAGCTATGGCCTAGGGGAGAACTGTGCATTATGAGAAATTCAGGAGTGATTTGCTCAGCTCTAAATGAAGGTTGTTTCCAATTAGGTTAATGAAGAACATCATTCTCATGTCCAGAGTCACTCGGTCTGTACAGGGAGATATAAATCACCCGTCCCTGCACACAGACACTCTGAAAAGCACAGGAGTGTAAAGAAGATCATTTCCACTGGGCTGTGAAGCATTGAGCATCCAGGTGGGAGGAGATGAGCCCAGAGCCCCCTTCCAGCACTGGCACTGTGTCCTGATGGCACCCACCACCCCTGGGGGCTGCCAGCTCAGGGGTGTTCTGGGCTGCTCCAAGCAGCCAGTCCCTGTGTTCAAGCAGGGCCAAACACGCCGTGCCTGCTGCAGTCACGCAAGGCCAGGACTTGCCCAGAGAACCACCATGCAAAGGCAGATGCTCATCAGTGAAATCTGTGGCTGAAGGAATGACAGTCAGGTGGGATTAGTGGCCTGATCCCATCGCAGGCTGCTCGGTGCCGCAGGCAGTGCTGGCCAGAGGATCCTGCTGGCCAGGAATGTGCCACCATGGCCTCTGGGGACCTGAAGGAGCTGGGCACTCCTCATCAGCCAGAACTCGCTCTCACTTCCATGTGTGTCTTGCTTTACAGATGGGAAATGCATCCAACACCTCAGTGTTCACGTCCACCTTATCGGAGAGAGAAGACCTGATTTTTGGCACTCTCTATTTGGTCTTTGGTAAGGAAAGATGGGCTCTCGATCCCCATGTCCCTGCCCAGCTGCCTGCAGAGTCAGTCAGGCCTTTTCAGTCACTGGTGCTTCCAGAAGAGTCCAGTCATTAGCAGATTAATTAAACTGACCTTCCCATGTTACCCAAAAGTATGGTCTGGTGACTGCGTTTCCCTCTCAAGTGAATTTCAAGTGCCTGTTATGGTTTTAAATATTTGAAATGTTGAATAACTTAGAGAAGCTTCCGGTAACTGCTCCCACAGCCACCTGAGGTGAGACAGGCAAGGGCTCTGCTGGTACCACTTCAGGTCCACTGAAGGGGACTTGGAGCTCGAGCTGGCCCTTGATTTCAGCAGGACTTGGAAAAGCTAATAAAGTGTACTTAGCACAGATGTGAGACTTGCTCTGTGGGAAAAAATGCCTTCTAAGGCTGGGAAGAAGGATAAACATCTCAATACTCTGCTCTCCAGTGACTCCAAAGCCTCCAGAGCTCTGGATTTGCCCAGATTCCATGTGGGAGTCCTGTTCCCTGAGGGGAACTTAGTGTTGGCCATTCAGTGGCTTTGGAAGCGGGTTCTTACCATGAGATTTAATTTGCAGTATAATCCACTAGGGAGGAACTCTTATCCTGCTCAACTGCCCCAAAAGCAGCAAAGATTCCCCTTGTGAGGACACTGAAACTTCTTTTCCATGAAATCACAATTATGTAATGAAAAAGAGAAAGCCCTTATTATAAAACTTAAATCGCCACTGTTGATTTAAATACACTAATAGCAAACAAAGAGCCTCCTTTTGTTTAGTCTGGATTTTCCTTGATCTTCATAATGCCTTTCTTCTTGTTTATTTTGTTACCATGATATGGGACAGTGCAGACTCACAGGAGTGACATTGCCAGGAAGAAATTAGGAAGGCCGAGGGGCCCAGCTCCCTGGCCCCACATCAGAGGAGCAGTCTCACAGAGCTCCCATTATTTATCTAGCTGGGAGGAAGTGTCCCTTGCTCCTTCCAGCTGCAGCAAGTGACTGTGGCCAGATCCTGCACCCGGCGCCCTCTGCAGTCTCACCCCATCTCTGCCCTCCCACCAAACGCCTCTGCAAGATCTCAGGAAGGGGAAGGCATCCAATCCAATGTAAAGGAGCTCCAGATGTGCTCACAGAGCTCTGTGGGTCCCGTGGGCTCCCCTGCTCAGCCCACCCCAGAGAGGGAAGCCTGGAGCCCTCTCGCCCTCTGTAGACTTCTGCAGTGTTTCCTTCCAAACACCTCAGGATGCTCCTGGTTCCTTTCCCGGCTCTGTCACACTCAGCACCATTCTCTGCCTCCTCCACAGGCATCATGTCCCTGGCTGGGAACTCCCTGCTGCTGCTGGTGGCCCATCAGAAGAGGTCCCTGCTGAAACCTGCTGAGCTCTTCATCGTCAACCTGGCCATCAGTGACCTGAGCACGACGGTGACGCTCTTCCCCTTGGCCACCTCCTCCTTCTTTGCACACAGGTACCTCCTGGAGCAGCTCTGCACTGGCCAGTGGCCCGGTTTGCAGACTGCCTGGGAGCCAGGAGATGCCTGGCAGTGCAGAGGGACTCAGGGTGGCACAGGGGCACACGTGAGCTCCCTGCCAGCCATCCCACAGTGTGTGCTTTGTGCTCCCTGTCCCTCCAGGTCCTCACACAGACCCGCCTCCAAAGGGCTCTGGTGGTGGCTGTCCAAGCTGGCACTGCAGGGGTGGGAGCTGCTGTGGGTCAGGGCAGCTCCTGCACCCCCAGCTCCCCCCATGTGCATCTTTGGGGTGCTCAGGGAACAACTCAGGGGCGAGGTCATGCCCATGTGTCTGGCCAGGTGCTGGTACCTGTGCAGCCCGTTGGAACCTCCCCACACGTGCCCAGCTCTGCTGCAGGAATGGGAGCAGCCGCCGGCAAACTCCCACACGGAGAAGCCTCGAGTGCAGCCGGGGGCAGGGCTGTCGGGAGGGACGGGCTCACGGCAGGCTCTCCTTGCAGGTGGCTCTTTGACCAGGCTGTGTGCACGCTCTATGCCTTCTGCAGGGTCCTGTTCGGGCTGAGCAGCCTGGCCAGCCTGACGGTGCTCAGCACGGTCTGCTGCCTCAAGGTCTGCTACCCGGCATATGGTAGGTGCTGGGACGTGTCATCTGATCCTCACTCACACCCCCCTCCCTTAACAGGGCCCTTTTCCTTTTAATGAGCCAGATCCACCTCTTCAGGGAAAGCTTTGCCCCAGGGCAACCTATTCCCAGTCAATATTTAGTCACAGAATCACAGAAACAAGTTTAGGCTGGAAAATACTATAAGATCATTGAGTCCAGCTGTTACCACAGCACTTCCAAGTCCAGCACTAAACCATGTCCCCAAGTGTCACATCGGTGTGGCTGTATCACAGCAGATTGCAGGTTTTTGAATGTCCACACACAGACTTGAGCTTAGGCTAGAGCAGACTGCAGCTGGGAAGCCACAAACTGTCAGAGCAGCAAGAGCTGCTTCCCTGGTGGGAGAGCCATAGGCTCCTGAAGGAGCGCTGGCCATGGCAGGGTCTGGGTGGCCTTGGAGGGGCCATGGCAGGGTCTGGGTGGCCTTGGAGGTGCCATGGCAGAGTCTGGGTGACCTGGAGGAGCCATGGCAGGGTCTGGGTGGCCTTGGAGGGGCCATGGCAGAGTCTGGGTGGCCTGGAGGAGCCATGGCAGGGTCTGGGTGGCCTTGAAGGAGCCATGGCAGGGTGTGAGTGGCCTTGGAGGGGCCATGGCAGAGTCTGGGTGGCCTTGGAGGAGCCATGGCAGGGTCTGGGTGCCTTGGAGGAGCCATGGCAGGGTCTGGGTGGTCTGGAGGAGCCATGGCAGGGTCTGGGTGCCTTGGAGGAGCCATGGCAGGGTCTGGCTGGCCTGGAGGAGCCATGGCAGGGTCTGGCTGGCCTGGAGGAGCCCTGGCATGGCGCAGTGAGCACAGGGAGCTGCCGGCAGTGCTCGGCAGGCCGCAGGGGCCATGCCTGGCCCCATGGTGGACCCCAGGGTCTCCCTGGCTCCTGTGGGCAGTGTGTACCTCGGGGGCAGCTCCCTGTCCGCTGCCCCTGGCCCACGGGAGCCTCCCCATCCCCAGGGAGCAGGTTCTCGCACGGCCACGCTGCAGGGCTGCTGCTGGCCGTGTGGGCCTACGCCCTGGCCTTCGCCGCCGCGCCCCTGGCCCGCTGGGGCAGCTACGGCCCCGAGCCCTACGGGACAGCCTGCTGCATCACCTGGGAGCCCTCCAGCACGGAGGCCACGCTCTACATCCTCGCCCTCCTCATCTGCTGCTACCTGCTGCCCTGCCTGCTCATCCTGGCCTCCTACGCGCTGATCCTGTGGACGGTGTGGGCGTCGCACAGAGCCCTGAGGCGGCACAGGCACACGTCCCCCCGGCACGGGAACCGCGGCCTGCGCGGCCTGCACGGGCTGCTCCTCCGGGTATGGGGAATGGGAAATAGGGCTGCTCCTCAGGGAACGGGAATGGGAATGGGGCTCCTCAGGGTATGGGGAAACGGGGCTGCTCCTCAGGGTATGGGGAAATGGGGCTGCTCCTCCGGGTATGGGGTCAGGGGCTGCTCCTCCGGGTATGGGGAATGGGAAATAGGGCTGCTCCTCCGGGTATGGGGAATGGGAAATAGGGCTGCTCCTCAGGGAACAGGAACGGGAATGGGGCTCCTCAGGGTATGGGGAAACGGGGCTGCTCCTCAGGGTACAGGAACAGGGCTGCTCCTCAGGGTATGGGGAAATGGGGCTGCTCCTCAGGGTATGGGGAATGGGAAATAGGGCTGCTCCTCAGGGTATGGGGAAACGGGGCTGCTCCTCAGGGTATGGGGAAACGGGGCTGCTCCTCAGGGAACGGGAACGGGAGGCTGTGGGGATACTGGGTGCCCTGTCCAGCCCACTGCCCATGGGCAGGTGAACAGCAGGGCCCCTCCTGCCTGGCGTCTGCTGTTCCTGAAGAATTCTCCAGGTGTCTGTGTCAGTGTGGGTAACAACACATTGCTCCTCATTTAAAGTCATTAGGTGGAGGAGTTTTCATTTTAAATTACATTGGAAAAGATCATAAAGGAGCTTGCATGAGTCATTGTTCCCCAGACTACAAGCTAATACTATAATTTACCAAGAATATGTAAAAAAACCCCAAATAACCTTTTAAAAACACAACATGAAAGAAAACAACTTGCAAGCCTGGCTTCAAAGGAAACAGCCACAGCCATTCAGGGGAGGGGGACTGAGCACAGCCCATTTCCAAGCCCCCCAGGCCACATAGGTTGCTGGAGGGATTTGCAGTGCTGCCAAAAGCTGAGCTGGTCCCACCAGGTCACTGTGTCCTTTGTACCCATGTGCCACAGCAGGCAGAGGCTGTTCCCAATTCCCCAGGTGGGGCAGGGCGTGAGTGGCCTGAAGCCCAGGTCTGTTCATGGGCTGTGCTGAGTTGCTGCCCTGTTCTCTGACATTCCAGTACAGGTCCAGAAGGCTGAGCACCTTACCCTGGGCATGTGAGGGCTGCTCAGGGTCCTGCTGCATGTGGCTGTGTTTGGGGGGTGTCAGCGTCCCCCGAATGCTGCAGGAGGCTCAGGGTGTCCCCATCTGCCTCTGCTCCTTCTCCAGCTGAGCATCGCTGTGTGCCTGGGGTTCCTGGCTGCCTGGACTCCCTATGCCGTGCTGGCACTGTGGGCCCTGCTCGGGGACACCAGCCAGGTGCCAGTGCTGGCCTTCGTGCTCTCGGCCGTCTCTGCCAAGTCCTCGACGCTCTACAACCCGCTGGTGTGCCTGCTGCTCAAGCCCAGCTTCCACGGGTTCCTCTCCAGGGACAGGGTTCCTCTCCTGCAGGCCCTGCGCACCCTCCTGTGCTGCGGCTGCCGGGGCACCAGGCTCCAGCGCGGCCCGGCCCGGGGCTGCAGGAGCTGCAGGGATGGTCCTGAGTGCTTCAGTACCTGCCCCAGGTGCTGCAGTGCCCCCCGGCTGCCCGGCAGCTCTGCCCAGCGCGGGGCCCTGGCCGTGCTGGCCGGCGGAGCCGCGGGGCAGGTGCAGGTGATGGTGCTGCTCACTCGGACGTGCTCGGGCCTGGGCACTGCCAGCGTGGCGGGGGAGGCCCTGCCCTCGGCCATCGCCAAGGAGCTGCTCTGAGCCCAGCCCTGCCCAGCTCTGTCCTAGCAGAGCAGTTGTACACAAACCCAAGCGCTGCATTCTCTCACCCCCGTGCCCAGTGGGTCCCAGATGTTCCACACCTGAAGTGACATGAAGATGTCAGACCAACCCCTCTGGTTTGGCTCCTGCAGCTCTGGGCCTGGTGTTTGCACTTGCAAGAACACACATAGACCCCAGTGCCTGAGAGGTGCCCAGGGTGCAGCCCAGGGTACAGTCTCTTCTGCAGTTTGCTCTCTGGGCCCTTGGCCCTTGTTTTTCCAAGCTGGTGCTCTGATGGCCAAGTAGGAACTTGGTTGTCTTAAAAATTGTGCCTAGCCTAGCAAGGCAGGCTGGAGGCCAGGAGGCCCTGAGGGGAATCTACCTCCAGTGCCAGATCCTACAGCCCCCACAGCCACCTCCTGTCCTGCTGGACAGTGGGACTGTCCACACAGCTACCTCACCTGGGGTAAGGAAGCACCTCCCTACAGGTCCCTGGGATTGCTCTCTGTGCCAGCTGTGCTACCCTGTTCCCTCCACTGGAGTGAAAGCCACCAGTGTCCCACAGACAGAAATGGGAGCTTGCCTTTAGAGCAAGGATTTGGGGTTACAGTGATCATGGAGTGAGTAGTGGCAGTCCCAGGGAATGATCAGCAGGCTGGGAACAGCAAATCTGTGGGTGAGCAGCACCCTGGAGAAGGGACAGTGGCTGCAGGGTGTCCCTGGTGCTGGGACAGTGGGGCAGCTTGTGCCAGCTGCACAGGGCAGCAGCTGCCAGGGCTGCAGCATCCTGAGGGATTGTAGCTGGCCTTTGGAGATCAGTGAGGGCAGCACGCCCATGGGCAGAGCCTGGGACAAAAAGGAACAAGAAGCTGTGCCAGAGCATGGTGCAAAGCCATGCACAGGATAACCCCACCTGGAAAGCTGCCTGTGCCCCATCCCCAGCCCTCTGGAACACGAGGGGAGCACGCAGTGTCTCCACTGACCACTCACCACGTTCCACTTGTCATTTCTAAAGTAAATTCACTCATGCAAAACCAGTGTCCGACTCTGTTCAGCTCCGTGCTGGCAGCTGCGCCCCAGGATAATGGGAATGGGGATGGGGATGGGGCAGAGCATGGCCAGGGCCAGAGCAGGGCCAGGCTGGGTGCCACAGGGCAGCCACACAGAGAGGGGCACAGCCCACCGGCTGGGCACGGGCAGCTGGCACCAGCAAACCTCCCCTGCCCTCGTGCCCAGTGCCACAGCCACGCTGTGCCCGGCAGCACCGGGACCCTGCCACACCCCTGCGTGTCTCCCGGGCCATCCGGGGCCATCCTGGGCCATCCAGGGCCATCCAGGGCCATCCTGGGCCATCCTGGGCCATCCTGGGCCATCCAGGGCTATCCTGGGCCATCCTGGGCCATCCTGGGCCATCCAGGGCTATCCTGGGCCATCCTGGGCCATCCAGGGCCATCCTGGGCTATCCTGGGCTATCCTGGGCCATCCTGGGCCATCCTGGGCTATCCTGGGCCATCCAGGGCCATCCTGGGCCATCCAGGGCCATCCTGGGCTATCCTGGGCTATCCTGGGCCATCCTGGGCTATCCTGGGCCATCCTGGGCCATCCTGGGCCATCCAGGGCCATCCTGGGCTATCCTGGGCCATCCTGGGCCATCCAGAGCCATCCAGGGCCATCCAGGGCCATCCTGGGCCATCCAGGGCCATCCTGCCGCTGCCCTCCAAGAGCAGCTTCCAGAAAGGGACCAGGGGCTGATTTCCCCTTGCAGGACACAAACACGAAGGGCTGCTGCCATCTCCTGGGGGCTCTCAGGGCATGGCCACCCCGGGAGGGACAGGGACAAGGACTGACCAGCCAGGCTGGGCACTGGGCTGTGCCAGCCTTGGGGACAGAGCACTGGGTCAGTCCCTGCTCCGCCTGCCAGCCCCTGACTGATGGCTTTGGCCCTGCTGCCTAAAAATCCAGTGCTCTAGAGATCATCTAAAGAAGACAGGGAGAAAGATAATGACCTGCCAATCCCTCAGGTCCTTTATTACTCCAGAAAAGCTCCAGATCAGTGTTTCCATCCCACAGGTCAGTGTGAGTGTGCCCAGCAGTGAGAGCCCCAATGCTGGGGTGTTTATTCTCCATTCTCATACACTCCTGCTGCCAAGGGCCAGCGTTTGCAGGCACCCAGCAAACCCCAACCATTCCAATGAACTCCATGTGCTGCAGAACCAGCCCAGGGTCTGGCACTGCCCAGGGACTCCTCTGCCAGGCTGGATCCATCCCCTGGGGCACAGCACAGCTGGGGCCAATGTAGCCGTGTCCCCAGCTGGGAATGTGCTGACAGCTGCCATCAATTAATTACCTGAGGATCAGAGACAACCCCCTCTCTCTTGGGCAGCTCCCCCGGTGCTGCTGCTGGGCTGAGCCTGAGAAGAGGTGGTGGCTTTGCCCTCGGAGCTGAGGCCCAGCAGGGTTTGGAAGGGGGCTCCTGACTGCAAGAACCCATTTCTTTGGGTTTGGTGGTGCTGCAGTGGAGGGAAGGGAGTTGAGGGCTGCAGTGCTGCTCAGTGAGAGCCTGGCCCTGGAGCAGGAACAGAGCCAGGCTGCCTTGGGGCAGGCTTGGTGCCAGGGGGCTGCACTGTGGGCGCTGCATTTCCCACTCTGTGCTGGCTCACTCGGGAGTCCGAGGGCACAGCTACAACTCCAGGGTAGTGGGGACACCATCTGTCCTAGGAAAGGAAAAATGGGGGATAAGGTGACTGTCAAGGAAAGTCAGCAAAATCAGAAATGAGTGTGAAAATAAGACAGTAGAAATTTCTTCTAGTGGTTCTGAGCAATGGAGGTTAATGTGTAGTTTGAGAGAAAGTGAAGTCTTAACTCTGAGTTGTGCAAATGTGGTGATATTTTAGTGCAGTTGATTTTTAAATAGCTCCCCCACCCCCCATTGCTCCAGCTTCATTGCCTCAAATGATTTAATTCCTTCTGCCTGTGGTGGTTAATTGAAGGTAAAAAATACTTCCAGCTGGGGCTCTCAGCTCTTTTCCTGGTGCTGTCCAGGGGCAGGGCTGGGAGCAGGACCAGCCTCCCCAGCAGCTCTGTGCTCCAGCAGGGCCCCCGAAGCTCATCCATCTCCTGCTCCAGTCTGAAGGGTGAAGCCCTGATGAAGATCCCATCAGCTCAAACCAGAGCTGCCCTCAGTAATGCCCAGTGATGCTTTGCAGTCAGGGCCTTCTGCACCTCCAGAATTGGCTGCTGCAGGAAGCTGAGGAGGCCCCTGGTCCTGTGCTGTCCCCTCCTGTGGCCCCATTGCTCTCAAGGGCTGGGCAGCCTCAGCCTGTGCCACTGAGCCTTCACTGCAGCCCCACAGGTGGGTGAGCTCACCTGGGGACACAGGCATGGGGAAAAGCCCAAAGGTGTTTAATCAGCACAGGTCAGAGTTCTGCTCTGGCTTCCCAAAGGCTGAGCTCCTGAAGGGCAGGTAAGGACTCCTGGTTGTGGCAGCTTTGGAATCAGGCTGTGGAAACAGCCCAGAGGTGCTTTGGTGGGTAAAGCAAAGGAGCATCTCTGCAGCCTGGAGGATCAGCCAGAGCTCAGCCAGCAGCACCTGGGGCTCTGCAGGCAGCAGCCTCTGCTTCAGCTGCTGGGGTGCTTAGCTGAGAACATTAAGAAATCAAGTTTCCTCTTGCACGGGCTTGCAGATCCAAGTTAGGATGGAGGAGTTGTGGAAAGAGGGTTAGGGTTTAATACTGGTCTGATAAAATAGGAAATGTTCTAAAGTAACTGCCAGGCAAGTCAATAAAGAAGAATATTTATTTTCTAAGCATACTAAGTGAACAGCTCCAAACTGTGAAATGACTGACAGAAAAGCCAGTATTTGTATTGATAAATGAATATAACCATTGGGCACTATGGTAAAAACCTCTTTTGGTTCCAAAATGAGTGAGTTAGCTTTGCTCTCTCAGAATACACACTTAAGTCCAAGTTTTGACAAGCGTAATATTATGTTAAGTTTTAGAATAGTTGGTTTTAAACCCAACCCAGTTTAAATTAAATCCCCGCCGTCTCCACCGGCATCGCTTCAGAGCGATTCCCTCCGCTCGCTACCGCCGGCCGCCGCCAGAGGGCGCCAGCGAACAGCGCAGACGCGGCGCGACCGAGCCGAGGCACCGGGAACGGCCGGGAGGGACCGGGGGGTACCGGGAACGGCCGGGAGGGACCGGGGGGCACCGGGAACGGCCGGGAGGGACCGGGGGGCACCGGGAACGGCCGGGAGGGACCGGGGGGCACCGGGAACGGCCGGGAGGGACCGGGGGGCACCGGGAACGGCCGGGGGGACCGGGGGGCACCGGGAGGCGCAGCCCTCGCGCACGGCAGCGGGACTGAGGCATTCTGCCACCCCCGGGGTAACAGCAGCTCCACCACGAACACCTGAGGAGAGGCGCTCAGGGACCTTCCAGCAGCTCCTGGGCGTAGAGGTAGGAAAGGCAGGAGGAGTGAGGGGTAACTGAAGTTTATAATTCAGTGTGCTGGGGTCTAGAAGGGCGACAGAAAGGCCGCTGCTGACACAGATTCCCCATGGATGAAACAAGCACTCACGGCTTTCACAGCCTGCTCAGCCCTGGCTGTGCATGTCCCAGCTCTGGGACAAGGAGCGAGCCCTTTCCACAGGCGGGGAAAGGGCAGCAGGGAACAAGATGTGGTATTTTGAAAAACTGCTCAGACAACAGGTTCAGGATTCTGAATACATTCTTGAACTTTTATTCTCTCGGTAGGTAAGCAGTGGATTAGAAAAACTCAGTAGCAAAACCAGAGCAAAACGAAGTCTCACATCTTCAGAAACAAACATGCACATTTGCATGTCAGATTCGGTGCTGAACTGTAATTCACATCCTGACAATGGATATGCAAATGACCAAGGAGGAATTTGGCAGTGGGAGCAAACTGCTGCATGTGTCACCATGGCAAATGTGTAACAAACACGTTCAGGTGTTGGCAATGCCAAGCAAACACTGGGC